TTTGGGGCGATTTCAGTTTTTAGATTCTTTATACTTTAGTTTTGAAGTCGTTATTTAAAATTGAACATGTGGATTTGAGGCTGGAAGCTCTCAGCCCTGAACTCCATCACCTTACAGAGCTACAACCATCTGGGAGGCGGGAATGAAACGCTCTCCTTTGGGAGAGACGGTGAAAATGGCAGACTGGAAACTGAAAAATGATTTAAATAGTTATTCAAAGAGAAACTCTGAGCTTTAAGTCCACAGACTAAAGCTGTTGGCCTGAACAGCAAAGTGCCAAAGTTTGAACCGATTCTGTTTTTTACTGGATGCTGCAGCAAGTATGAAGTCAATCGACATCCTGAGGAGTTGAGGACACATGAAATCACTTCCTGTCTCTCCGGTGGGTTTCAGGTGAGTACCGCTCACCTGAACAGCGCCCTCTGCTGCACTGGTGCTGCTTCTCTTCTGGCTGTTGCATCCAGTGGAGACCACAGCTCACCTGGAAAGAGATGAACAAGTCTTTATTGATAATTATATATGGCAGATGAAATGCAGCAATACTGTGAAAAGTTCATTACTAAATAACTAAAAACTCTCCAGAGTTTCTCTCCTGCATCTTATGAATCGTAGCTTCAGAACCTTGAGCTGCTTTTAGCCTCTATTTAGCTCAGAGTTTTGAGCCGAGGCTCCAGAAATCAGGCATTGTCGTGTTGCTTCATGTCTCTGTTAGGAAGGACTCAGTTTTTCTGAAACTTGTTGAATTCCAGCGTGTAAATGAGTCTTTGTCTGTGAAATGTTTGCTACCTTCAGGGTCCTTTGCGGCAGCCATCTTGGGATTCTGCTAAAGAAGAGCCCGCCTCAAACAAGCTCTTTTATAGAACCGGCTGCACTTTGATTGGCCGGGCAAATTGAGAGGCGGGGCTTCACTGGTTAATTGATGGACTGCTGGATGTAAGGGCGGCCATTTTGAAAGCTGCTTTGGTGCAAATGACTCAATAAATAAACTTTGTTGGCAGAACAGCAAAAGTTTGACTGGATTCTTCTTTCCACACCTTTTAGTATAAAAGTCACATTCTTTAATAAATTATCACAAACTCTTGTCTCATAATTCAAACTGTTGACCTTTGTTATTCCAACTGTAATTTTCTGTTTTATCTCCAGAGAATCTCTAAAAATTGAGACTTTAGAGAGAATCTAAAATCTCTCTAATTTATATTAGAGAGATTTAATCTTTAATTTTTAGATTAAATCTAAAAAACATCGACATGACGGCACCAGGTCCAGTTCTGGTTCTGCCCTCTGACCTCTTGGCCCAACCGGCCTGCACAGGTAGAGATAGGCCAGGTTCTGGAGCCACAGTGATGCTGATCGGTGATACGACTGGATTCTGATCCGAATCTGAGACAATTCAAGCTGCAGCTTCAACATCAGAACCAGATGAAGTTTCTTCTTCACTAAAGAACATTTCAGTTTGAGTCTCTGAATGAAGGAACTGATTTCATGAACGCAAGAGTCAGAGGAAACCGGGTCAGAGAGAACCGGGTCAGAGAGGTAACCGGGTCAGAGAGAGAACCGGGTCAGAGATGGAACCGGGTCAGAGATGGAACCGGGTCAGAGAGGGAACCGGGTCAGAGATGGGGCTGCTCTTAATGTTATTAAAATACTTTTATGAATTGATAATCATTCAGTTTGAGATGAGTAAAATTTAATTTGCTGCTTTTGAATAACAGTTTATTGTTTCAGAGAGAGAAAAACAACAGAAGTAAAATGTCTTATTTCAAATGAAAGCTAACAGAGGAACTCGTTTCTATGGCTCTTAAGTGAAAGTACTCACCGGAAGTGAATGTAGTTTGTAAACGCTCTAACTTTATCAAGTAGGTGTAATTATCATCTGTGTCCGCTAGAGGGCAGAAACCGCCCTGCTCTGATATTAATAGTTCAGTTCGCGGCTCTGCAGCTAAAATATCAACATTATTCTGACTGTTTGCAGGATAATTAAACTTTTCATAAATATTTTCCTACCTTCAGACGGAAGCTCAGCATCTTATCGCCTAAACCAGAGTTGTTTCAGCTCTGTTTGAGCTGAAGCTCCAGTTTTAAGAACCACAGCTCCTCTGAAGCCGCTGCTAGTCTGTTAGCATCGTTAGCTCCGCTCAGAGTCTCTGCGGGATGTTTTCGTCTCTGTGGAGATGCTTCTAGTTCACACTGACAGATAAAACACTGATTTCCAGAAACCAGCTGCAGCTCTTCAAACTCACCTCTATATTCAGAGCGGGGTATTTACGCCCTCTGGTGCCCATAGTGGGAACTACAGCCCTGATAATGCCGCATTATTTATGTTTAATATCCATTAATGTGGAGTTTAGAGAAAAACTAAAAGACATCCTGAGTCATTATCACAGATTTCTGTCTAGTTTGTTATTCAGACATATTTTGATTCACTGTTTGGAGTTAACTTTGATCTGACGTTATAAAATTTTACATTAAAACAAACATCCGGTTTAACAATTTATATGAAGAATGTCTGTAGTTATGATAGTTCACCACCAAGGGCAGTAAGAAACTCAATCAACCATCATAAAACTAATAAACTTTTAAACTTTTCACTAGTTTCTAATGACAAGTTATATTAACTTAATCCTGTGAATAATAATTATATATTTCATACATGTATGTTATTAGAGATAGAGATTAATTATTAGAATAATTTAGATACAAAGTGAACAACTACTTATAAAGTAATATTTATTTTACAATAGATGGAAATTTAGTTTGAAAAAATCCTACATTTTATTGTGTAACAATCCCGGAAATATTAACTGTTGCTAATTTTGAGAATGAAAGTATGAAAAAGCTTCAAATATCAAGAAAAAAACAACCAGCTGACATAAGAATAACTGTTCTTTATTATTTTAAAAACTGTTTAAAATTATAAAATAAAGCTGCTGTATTAAACTCTTTACAAGACGTTTTATTTCTAATCAAACTGAATAAAATCCTGCAGTGACTCTTATTAATGACAGTAATGTAAGCTGACTTGATCTGACTTTATAACAGTGAAAATTAAAACAAAGAGAAACATCTGGTTGAACAATTTCTATTGACGATGTAAATAATGAATAAATCCAGAACGACGGCAGGATGACCGATGGAGAATGTCCTGATATGTGAGGAAAATTAACTGTTTCATCTCATGAACATATTAATTTTTATCCAAGCATCATCAGGTGGAGTCGCTCGTCCCGTCTGTATCAGCGCTGAATTTTCCTGCGTACCTGAACACATCTTCAGTAACCAGCCTCACTGAAGCCAATAGACCAGAGCTACGTTGCAGGAAAACTCTGAGGCTTCTTGCTGGTTTTGGCCTCTAAACTGAGACGCGCTCTCATGAGAAGTGAAATTTGCACTAGGTGCAGGAGATGACCTTTAACCCTGGTCCCAGGTTTTAGGCGGTGTTGAGGTGAAGAGCGAGGCTCCTGATCTGCTGTGAGTGACGTGGACGCTCGTGGAAGTTCTGCATCCTGTTGCAGCTTCATGTTGGAGACGTGAGGTTTTGCTTCTCCTGTCAGGGATTGATGGGAAACGAGTCACAACATTCAGATGATTTAGTCACTTTGACGATGCAAACTCTGGTTCCTCAGTGTTTGGTCTGTCAGAACGCTGGCTCAGGTTTCTCCTCTAGTTTTCTTTAAACTCGTTCCACTTTAAATCCACACAAATAAACCACAGAAAGTTATTTTCTCATCTTCTGATGCAAATTTGCATCCATCAACAAAAGCTGGAAAATAAAACTGTTCTCCTTGAACTACAGCTGTGCAAACTGATCCCATCACATCTGTGAGCAACATGGAGCGATCTCTGGTTCAACTTTGACCTTTTCTTCCTTCTTGTTGCATCAGAAACTTAAAGTGAATAAAGACGTTTGAGTGAAACCAGGTTTCAGGTGGACTGAAGTCGTCTTCACTGTGAACTCATCAACTTTCTGCTTCACAACAAAACCTTTCAATCCAAACACACATCCAAGCCCGAGTCCAAATGATCCACGTTCAAATTTGTTTCTTTTCTCTGCAGGATCTGGTCAGGACGTCTGGATCTCAAGTGGATTTAATGCCACAGATCCAGAGGAAGTTTTACTGTTGGCTAAGAATCTATAGAGCTGCTATCATGTCTGATTTTAGATCAACTTTTTTCACCTCAACAGAATAAAATGACATTTTGTCCCATTAACAAACTCTTTAAAGCTTTTTAATAAAATTTATGCTTCATGTTTTTTGCTCAATTCAACTTTTCTAACAAACTCAGAGTATTTTTCTCTCTTTTGTTCCTGCAGATCATCAAACAGATCAGATGAAAAATAAAACTGAAAATCTTCAACAATAGACGTCTGGAAAAATTTGAAATAGAAATAGAAAATGTTCTGAGGTCAAAGGTCTCATCTTGATCCAGAGTCTCTTAGACTCAAACTGCTGCAGCTTCAACCTGTGAGGATCAGCAGGACACAGAGACGTTCTCTACTTTACAGAGATCAGAACCTGCAGAGAGAAGAAGGAAGGAGAGCAGATCAGTGAGTGTTCCAGTAGCAGTCAGTGACGCAGCACATCCAGTAGATGGTTTCCAGTCAGACTGATCTCAGAGCTGTGACCAAGATGAACCTGATCAGTTGTTTCCTGTTGAACTGAGAGAACAAGCAGGTCTGAGATCAGATCTGCTGCTGTTTGATGAATGAGGACCCATGTCTCTAGACATGTTGGACGCTGGAGTCCAGCTGGACGTCCTGGAGACATGGACACAGCAACAACACAGCAAGCTGCTGTTCCTCTGATTGGCTGATTGCTGTGTCCAATCAGGAAGCCTGAACCATTCTCCTCCCACTGAGAAGCTGCAGCTTTACTGGGAACACTGGATCTTTGCTCTGATGCTGACTGGGTTTAGTTCAATATGCTGACAGCAGCTGGACTCACTGCAAACATTACTTACTTTAAAGTCTCTACAAGATCCTTCAGCTGCTGAACATCTGATTCCTTCAGTTTGTTTCCTGTCAGGTCCAGTCTTGTCAGACGGGTCGGGTTGGACTTCAGAGTTGAGGCCAAATAATCACAGCTGATCTTTGACAAACTGCAGTCCTCCAACCTGAATAAAGAATAAAAGATGTGAACCAACAGGATGCAGGTTAACCAGTCCAACAGAACCAGTTAAAGATTCTCATCAATATTAATGCCAACAAGCTGCTGCTCCAATAAAGACCTGCTGACTTCAGAACCAGAACCAGAACCAGAACCTGGTACTGGGTCATGATGTGTTGGAGGATTTTAGTCAGTAAAAATCATTCCAGGTTCTGATCAAAGTGTTGAAGCATCTATCATTGATTATTGATTTGTTCCTGTCAGATTCCAGGATTTCACTTTTCTAGACTGGATGACCTTTGACCTGCTTGACCTGAGGGGATTTCTACACACTGGGTCCGAATGCTGTCCTGTTCTGACCTCAGATCAGCAGGTCCAACTCAGTTACACAGAGAAAACTAAATTAAACTCTGGATCCAGGAACAAACTCAGAAAATATTGATTAGATCAGAAGAAATGAACTTTGATTGATGATCAATTATATAGAATTATTCACAGAAATATCAATAATTATATCATTAAAATACATCAATATCTCCAGTCTGCAGCCTTCAGTCTGTAGAAAACCACAGAGATCCTTCAGTCCAGAACCTTCCAGGTTGGTTCCGATCAGGCCCAGTACTGTCAGATGGGTCGGGTGGACTTCAGAGCTGAGAACAGAGACGTCCAGCTGGTCTCTGAGAAACTGCAGTAAGTCAATCTGAATAAAGAATAAAAGATGTGAAGCAACAGGATGCAGTTAAAACTGAAATATGAACAAATAAATAATAAAAATGTATAAATTAATTTCCCTGAATGTAAAAGAAACATGATGAAGTGATTCTAACATCTGATCCAGTCAAACTGGTTTAAAGAGTCCAAACCAGCAGAACCAGAACATTTGATCAACAAAGAAAGTCAAAGTTTGTCTCAAAGTTTCTGAGGATCTTAAACTCAGTGGATGTTTTTCTCTCCATGTTTCCTTCCAGGCTCTGGATTCTCCGACTGCTCTGTCCATCATTGATCTGCTGATATTTTATGGCTCCAGTTTTTCTTCATTAATCTATTAATGATGTTTTTCTTGCTGCTTGTATTTGAACTGCAGCTCATTGCTCAGTATGACAGATGGAAACGGGTTGATTTCAATCCTTTTATCATATCATCACATTCTGAAACTTGATCATTTTGTGCTGATTCAGTTTCTGAACCATCAACTAGAAAATATTGATCCTTTTCTCTGTGAGGTCATTGTGGGTCATTTGGTTCTGGTTCTGAATCGTTCATCAGAGACGCTGCAGAAATGGGAATATTGATCAGGATATCAGCTTCTTTAATCTGGTCTAGTTAAAGCACTGCAACACCTGGACTCTGTAAACCTGGACTGGATCATCATCAACTAATAGCAGAAGATTTAAAGCTAATGTGGGATTTATGGATCTTCAATAAAGGGACATTTCATGTTGACCTTTGACCTGCTTGACCTGAGGGGGATTTCTACACACTGGGGTCCGAATGCTGTCCTGTTCTGACCTCAGATCAGCAGGTCCAACTCAGTTACACAGAGAAACTAAATTAAACTCTGGATCCAGGAACAAACTCAGAAAATATTGATTAGATCAGAAGAAATGAACTTTGATTGATGATCAATTATATAGAATTATTCACAGAAATATCAATAATTATATCATTAAAATACCCCAATGTCTTCAGTCTGCAGCCTTCAGTCTGTAGAAAACCACAGAGATCCTTCAGTCCAGAATCTTCCAGGTTGGTTCTGATCAGGTCCAGTCCTTTCAGATGGTCGGGTTGGACTTCAGAGCTGAGAACAGAGACGTCCAGCTGGTCTCTGAGAAACTGCAGCTCCACAATCTGAATAAAGAATAAAAGATGTGAACCAACAGGATGCAGTTAAAACTGAAATATGAACAAATCAATAATAAAATGTATAAATTAATTTCCCTGAATGTAAAAGAAACATGATGAACTGATTCTAACATCTGATCCAGTCAAACTGGTTTAAAGAGTCCAAACAGCAGAACCAGAACATTGATCAACAAAGAAAGTCAAAGTTTTCTATCAGTCTGGATGAGTTGAGCTATTTCTGCTGGTTCCTGATCATCAGACCCGACTTGGTAACTGGATCAGAACCAGTCAGGTTCTTCATTAATGGCCTTTGGGTTCCTATTAAAGCTGCTGTTAGGGTTAACACCTGTTAAAACATACATTAACAAAGACAGAAAAGACAAAAGAGTTAGATTCTTTTTCACTCGCGAGGAGAACGGACAGAGATGTGCTTCAGTTACAATCTCCTACCGCTGAAGCACATTTTGTCTGCTCCTATTTTATTGTTTCTAGGATCCCTAATCACAAGGACGCTGTAGCTCTAAAGGGGGGGCAAACAGCTACAGCGTCAAATGTTATTCACTAACTAACACACAATCATTCTGTACTAGATAATGTCCTTCCAGGCACAAAGATTAATAAAATATGTAGTGATCTTAGCAATGTTTTTTATTGGAGGCCAGCAACTCAACCGAAGCAGAGCTCTTCACCAAGAGGTAAACCTGCAGGAAGATTTTGTTTCTGCTCTCTGTCAGTGAGGCCTTCTGAGAAAGGAATCAGAGTAAATCAACAATACAAGAAACATTCTTAATTCTATAATGAGATTAACTTTAAGGAAAGCATCAATTAAAGATACATTATAAAGATCAATGAGAATAACAAATAATTGATTAATAATATCACATTTCTCCAACAGCTGCTGAAAGCCAATGGAGGCCATTATTTCCTCAGGAGACGGTTCCTCTCTGACCCGGCCCAACAGAACCACAGCCTCAGGACAAAGCTGAGGAACCTGCTGCTGCTGCAAACCTCACTTTCATTCATTGCATCTAGATTTGCTTTTCTACAATCAGTGGTTTCTTAGACGTTCATTAATGAGGATTTGAACTCGTCAGTGTTTGTGGCTCTGGAGGATCAACATTTCATTCTGATGTAAAGAATCAGAAATAAAACCATCTGAATCTTTACCAAACTGAAACATCTCCATCATTCATTCACAGCATTTCAATTATTTTACTCATTTTGTTCATCAAAACATTTTAAAGAGAAAAACTGAAAAACAAGTTCAATAATCTCAAAGTCTGAAATAAGAAAATAATTAATAAGGTCAAAAGTTTTAGAGATTTTATTCTGATGATTAAACAAGTTGTTTTAAAATAATATATATTAATATTAAATTGATTAACTATTGATTAAAGAATCAATAAATGATTTTATTGAATAAATAGAGAAAACAAACCTCAGATTCTTCACTTTACTGACTGAATCTCCAGGATCTCAACCAGATGATTCATATCAGATTCTCCACCTTCATCTATGTAGATCTGATTTATTTCCAGTTCAGTCAGATCTGGTTGGACTTCAGAGTCGAGGCCAAAACTTCACATTCAGCCTTTTGGAGCGAACAGCCACCAAGTCTGTGATTAGAGAAGAAATAAATTCAGTTCTAATGAAATCAATCTGGATCATAAACAGACTAAAATATGATAACAGTGATGTCATCATCTGATCATCATCTGATCATCATCTGATCAATATCTACTGAGTTTTGACCCCACAGAGAATCTGTGCAGTTCCTGGTTAAAGTCCAGGTTCTGGTTCTGGTTCTGGTTCTGGTCCAGGTTCTGGTTCTGGTTCTGGTTCTGGTCCAGGCTTCATGTCCTCAGACCTTCAGCTGCAGTCAGATGTTGAAGATCTTCTATCATCAGTGAAGGAAAGTTTCAGTTTCTCTGCAGCAGCTGATGAAGAGGCTGACTGAGCTGAATGAAGGAAACGACTGGAGATGATGGAGAGGAGGAGGAACTGCTCACAACTCTGACTTGGACTAGACCGTTTAGACCAAGCAGGAAGTGAGTTATAAATGAAGTGAGCAGAACAGGAAGTCAGCTGCTGTGGACCTCTGGCATCTCTGGGTTTGTTGAGCCACTATCTGCTGCATCATCATGAATAAGTAATATATTGTATAGAAACATGTTTCCCAGCAGCAGGTTATTAAATGCTGCCACAGAGGAAACTGGGAGCAGAACAAACACATGATGCTCCAGTTCTGTCTCCGTTCATCTGCTGGATTTGATGCTTTAACAAAGTAGAAAGTGGACAGTCGTCAACCTGCTGCAGCTAAAAGCTTCACGTTGTTCTGGTCGTCCTGCAGAGCAGCAGCAGAACCGGTCCTGCTGCTCCTTCCGGTCTGAACCGTCTGGACTGGGTCAGAACCGGGTCCAGGTGACCCAGGATCTGCAGATGATCCTCATTAATATGTCTGCACACATTGAGATGAGACAGACTGATAAACTCTCAGTCCATCAGTCTGATCTACTATAGTGATGATATGGATCATGGTGGACAGAACCAGAACCAGAGTGTTTGGGTCCATTTTTCATAATGAAGCAGTGAAATTTCTCCAGTAACTAGAAGATGTTTGGGATCCATTTTCTGCTGCATGGATCATAGAGAATCTCCTGATTCAATGTGTTGACAGTAAGTAATGATTATTAGGAACATTTTGGACTCAAAGTATCAGATATTGATATGAAACTGGAACTTTCACTAAAATCATTTTCTGGTCTCCAGCAAAATTAAAACGTCTCAGACAGCAGAGGCGGAGACAGAGGGGTGGCAGGGATTGCATTTGCCACCCCAAACAGAGGCCTTGCCACCCCTACTGCCACCCCACTGGAAATGGTCATTTTAAATATACTTATGAGATCGGCAAAGACCCGGGCCGGACCCGGGACGGACCAGCGCCAGAACAGGACCGGACCCGGGCCAGACCAGGACCGGACCGGGCCAGACCCGAGCCAGACCAGCGCAAGACCAGGGTCAGACCCGGGCCAGGAAAGGGCCGGATCCGGGCCAGACCAGGGCCTGGAAAGGGCCGGATCCAGGCCGGACCAGCGCCGGACCAGCGCCAGACCAGGGCCGGACCAGGGCCAGCCCAGGGCCAGATCCGGGCCGGACAAGCGCAAGACCAGGGATAGACCCTGGCCAGGAAAGGGCCGGACTCGGGCCGAACCTGGGCCGGATCCGGGCCGGACCAGGGCCGGGCCACGGCAAAACCAGGGCCAGGAAAGGGCCGGATCCGGGCCGGACCCGGGCCAGACCAGCGCAAGACCAGGGACAGACCGGGCCAGGAAAGGGCCGGATCCGGGCCAGACCAGGGCCTGGAAAGGGCCGGATCCGGGCCGGACCACGGCCGGACCACGGCCGGACCAGCGCCAGACCAGACCGGACCCGGGCCAGACCAGGTCCGGACCCGGGCCAGACCAGGGCCGGACCAGGGCCAGCCCAGGGCCAGATCCGGGCCGGACCAGCGCAAGACCAGGGATAGACCCGGGCCAGGAAAGGGCCGGACTCGGGCCGAACCTGGGCCGGATCCGGGCCGGACCAGGGCCGGGCCACGGCAAAACCAGGGCCAGGAAAGGGCCGGATCCGGGCCGGACCAGGGCCAGACCAGCGCAAGACCAGGGCCAGACAGGGCCGGACCCGGGCCGGATCAGGGCCGGACCAGGGCCAGGCCACGGCCAGACCAGGACCGGACCCGGGCCAGACCAGGGCTGGACCAGGGCCAGGCCAGGGCCAGATCCGGGCCGGACCAGCGCAAGACCAGGGATAGACCCGGGCCAGGAAAGGGCCGGACTCGGGCCCAACCTGGGCGGATCCGGGCCGGACCAGGGCCGGGCCACGGCAAAACCAGGGCCAGGAAAGGGCCGGATCCGGGCCGGACCCGAGTCAGACCAGCGCAAGACCAGGGTCAGACCCGGGCCAGGAAAGGGCCGGATCCGGGCCAGACAAGGGCCTGGAAAGGGCCGGATCCAGGCCGGACCAGCGCCGGACCAGCGCCAGACCAGGGCTGGACCAGGGCCAGCCCAGGGCCAGATCCGGGCCGGACAAGCGCAAGACCAGGGATAGACCCGGGCCAGGAAAGGGCCGGACTCGGGCCGAACCTGGGCCGGATCCGGGCCGGACCAGGGCCGGGCCACGGCAAAACCAGGGCCAGGAAAGGGCCGGATCCGGGCCGGACCAGGGCCGGACCAGCGCCGGACCAGCGCCAGACCAGGACCGGACCCGGGCCGGATCAGGGCCGGACCAGGGCCGGACCAGGGCCAGGCCAGGGCCAGATCCGGGCCGGACAAGCGCAAGACCAGGGATAGACCCGGGCCAGGAAAGGGCCGGACTCGGGCCGAACCTTGACGGGATCCGGGCCGGACCAGGGCCGGGCCACGGCAAAACCAGGGCCAGGAAAGGGCCGGATCCGGGCCGGACCCGAGTCAGACCAGCGCAAGACCAGGGACAGACCCGGGCCAGGAAAGGGCCGGATCCGGGCCAGACCAGCGCAAGACCAGGGACAGAACCGGGCCAGGAAAGGGCCGGATCCGGGCCAGACCAGGGCCTGGAAAGGGCCGGATCTGGGCCGGACCAGGGCCGGACCCGGGCCGGACCAGCGCCAGACCAGGACCGGACCCGGGCCAGACCAGGGCCGGACCAGGGCCAGCCCAGGCCAGATCCGGGCCGGACCAGCGCAAGACCAGGGATAGACCCAGGCCAGGAAAGGGCCGGACTCGGGCCGAACCTGGGCCGGATCCGGGCCGGACCAGGGCCGGGCCACGGCAAAACCAGGGCCAGGAAAGGGCCGGATCCTGGCCGGACCCGAGCCAGACCAGCGCAAGACCAGGGACAGACCCGGGCCAGGAAAGGGCCGGATCCGGGCCAGACCAGCGCAAGACCAGGGACAGAACCGGGCCAGGAAAAGGCCGGATCCGGGCCAGACCAGGGCCTGGAAAGGGCCGGACCCGGGCCGGACCAGCGCAAGACCATCATTTGTATATGGACCCCTGTGATAAAGCCTTGCTCACCCTTTGGCCACCCCTTGAAAAAAGTCGAGCTCCGCCACTGCAGACAGAAACAGTTTATATTAAAATCCTGTTTTATGAATCATGTTTGGTGGATGAATCATAAAATGTGACAGATGAGAGACGTCTGATCATGCAGAGTGTTTCTGACTCCATTTGGGTCATGAACCAAAGAAACCCTGTGGAGAATCAACAATAATTATAGTTTATTAATGACACTAAATTTAACAGATTTCAGGAAAAACGACTCAAAGATGATTTGAACCAGAACAACACAGAGGATTTTTCTCCCTGGATTTTATGGGACGAAGCAAAAACTTTAATTATCTGGTTCTCTAACGAGAAAGAGAGAAATGTTTAAAAGATTAGAAAACTAAAATCTCTACAAATACAACGTATGGAAAATAATAATAATAACAAATCAGAGAAACAAGGAGAAACTGTTTCTATGAAACCAGATGGAGGAAAAGGATAAATTTATTCAACTCAACTATTATGGAAATAGATCAAAGCAAAGAAACTGATAGCAAACTAATAGATTTATCAATAAATTAAAATCCAACAGATAAAGACACTGATCTCTAAAACACATGAGAATCTGTTGAATGATCCTCCACTCAGTTCTGCTCTCAGCCTCATGCAGTTTTTGCTGCTGCTCTGGATTCACCATCGATAGGAACAGATCAAAATCATCCACTAACAACTAATCACTGATCAATAAAGTCATTAAAGACTGAAAGGGAATCAGACGGCAGGTGAGGAGGCGACCCGGCAGAGCGGCTGCTGAAGGATTGATTTGATCAGAACTTTGTGGAGGGGAAACGCCGCCATCTTGGATCAGAGCAGAGATGTCAGTGATTCCTAAACCTGGTAAAGATGAAACTGGATGTGGTTCATAAACCAACATCAGTTTGAAACATTGATTACAGGATCACTGCAGCAACACTGGATAAATATTATAATCCCAGGAATTACAGACACAGATCAGATTTAATCTGGTTTTATCATCAACATTCAAACCCATGACAACGTGGGCTCCTGACCTCACAGGTCAAAGGTTAAACAGAATCAATAAAGTCATTTAGATGCTGAAAAGGCTTTTGATTCAATGTGTTGGAAATATCTTTATTGAGCTCTGGACAGATTTGGCTTTAATAATCAGATTATAGGTTGTTTCAGTCTGTATGAATCACATTCTGCCAGGATTAAGATTAATGTGGATTATCAGATTCAGGAAAGGGTCTGTGGCCGAGGCTGAACCCTCATCGCCACGTTGCTGCTTTTATTGATCCATCAGAGAACAACAACATTATGGGGGAACTATTAAGGAACAAGACCAGACGATGAGCTGCTAACGCTAACTGCTAACGCTAACTGCTAACGCTAACTGCTAACGCTAACTGCTAACGCTAACTGACCCAGAGTTAGCCGACCTGATAGCACAGGATGCTACGTCAACGATGGATTATAGTCAGAATGGTTGATTTCTGGTCCATAATCAATGATCAATCAGCAAACAATCATCCAATTCTAGTCAGAACCAAAGTTGAAAATGTGTCAACGAATCATTTGAGGTTGAAATTGATGAATCAAACGCCGATAACTGATCAATATCTGTTATCGGCAGATATTGATCGAGTCAATATCTGATCTATATTAAATCAATAAATGCTTTCCCAACTCCCTCTTCAGTACTTTGGTTCTTGGTTTGGTGAAACTGAACTGGATCTTTATCAGCATTTGGACATTTTTAATGAATTTAATCAACTTATTTTTCAGTGTTTGTGATTAATGGAGGATTGAACCAGTTATTGATGAACTTTAACCCCTGTATATATTGTCAATAATTTCCAACTGCAGTTCAAATCACCTTTTGCTCTATTTTTCTGTCTCTGGTGTTAAATCAATCCTGATTTGATCTTTAGGTTTTCTGATAAACACTTTATTTTAAAAAATTGACTCATTTTTACCACGAGCTGCAGCATCATAATGCTGCAGCATAGTGCAGCATTTATGATGCTGCACTATGCTGCAGCATTTATGATGCTACAGCATAGTGCAGCATCATAAATGCTGCAGCTTGATAGCTAAATGTAACTGTATGTGTCGACTAGCATTAGATAAATATTCATGAATATTCATCATTAACTTAGCAGTGAGTGTACATCAATCAATCAGATTGACTGATTGATTGATTGATTGATTGACTGATTGATTGACTGATTGACTGATTGATTGATTGATTGATTGAGTGTACATGGGGAACCGAACGCTTTGTGTTTGTTCTCAGACCTGTAACCAGTTCCCTACTTAATATTTCTGCTTGTTACAAAACGTCTCTCTTGCTCTGCAGAACCTGGTTTCTTTAGCAGAATGCTCTCAGAGTCAAGATAAGCAACCAGCAGCTTCTGCATGCTGAGTTTTTAAATTAACACCACAAAGGAGCAGCAGACACGAACAGACAGTCAGTTTGACACAAACTTATTTTAATCTCATCAGAGAACATGTGAATTTCCTCCCCAGAATGTTTTAATGTTTTCCTGGGCGAATAACATGCAACACTGATGATGATGATGATGATGATCATCAGAACATTCACATTAGACTGGAAGGAAATAATTAAGGAAATTCATCCAGTGGAGAGACTGACTGTCATGAAGACTTTCTGCTGATCAATAAAAATATTGGAAGAGAAGAAACCTGAACCTGGAACCAACTGGAGGATCAATGTAATCATCTAGTTTTATTGTGAAAGTTCTCACTTTGGGTTTTATTGTTTTATTATTTAATTGTCTTTGTTCAACAAGATACTTTGCAGCTTTTGTTAGTGGAGGTTTGAATGTTCAAAGTATTTATATTTCTGAAACTGTAAAAACAACAAAATATAAAGTTTATGAAAAATAATCCAGAGGATGAAGGAAGTAGATAAAGAGCAAAAACATCCAGAATCAACTTGAAGACAGAAGAAGAAACAGGAGGACAATAGAGCTGAATCAGCATCACACAATGAAACATCTGGACTCACCGAGCCTTTCTGCAGTTCCTCACAGCTGGAACCAGTCTCTGTCGTCCTGATTCTGATGTGTTGTACTTCTCCAGGTCCAACTCATCCAGAATCTCTGACATCTGCAGCATGAAGGCCAGAGCTGAACAGTCAGTCTCTGAGAGCTTCTTCCCTGAATCCAGCAGCCGTTGGATCTCCTGATAAAATGAGACGTCGTTCATCTCCACCAGACAGTAGAAGATGTTGATGCTTCTGTCAGCAGAGATTCTATCAGTGTTCATCTCCTTCAGGTTGGTGATGATTCTCTGGATGGTTTCTGGACTGGTCTCTGTCTGACCCAGCAGATCTTCTAAGTCTCTCTGGTTGGACTCCACAGTGAGACCATGAAGGAAGCGGACAAACAGGTCCAGGTGGCCATTTTCACTGCTGAGGGATTTCTCCATGACTTTCTTCATTAACTTCTGCAAAGACATGAAAACAAATTTTCTCCCAAGAAGGTCTTGATAACTTTTTTTCCTCTCCTGCTGGTGAAGCAGTGGAGCATGTAGACTGCAGCCAGAAACTCCTGGATGCTCAGATGAACAAAGGAGTAGACGGAGACGTCGCGTGTCCCTTTCTCTCTTTTAAACATCTCAGTGAAAACTCCTGAGAACAACGCAGCATCTTGGATGTTGATGCCGCACTGTGTGAGATCTTTGTCATAGAAGATCAGGTTTCCCTCCAGCAGCTGATCAAAAGCCAGTTTTCCTAGAGACTCAATCAGCTTCCTGTTCTCTGGACTCCAGATAGATTTGGTCTTTTTTCCTCCATCATACTTTTCCTCCTTGATGTTGAGTTGAACCTTCAGGAACTCTATGTACATCTCAGTCAGAGTGTTGGGTAGTTTCTCTCTCTCTCTGGTCTTCATCACATCCTCCAGAACGTTAGCAGTGATCCAGCAGAAGACGGGGATGTGACACATGATGTGGAGACTTTTGGATTTCTGGATGTGGGAGATGATCCTGCTGGCCTTCTCTTCATCATCTCTGAATCTCTTCCTGAAGTATTCCTCCTTCTGGGGGTCAGTGAACCCTCTGACCTCTGTCACCATGTCAACACACTGAGCAGGGATCTGATTGGCTGCTGCAGGTCGTGTGGTTATCCAGAGGAGAGCAGAGGGAAGCAGTTCCTTCCTGATGAGGTTTGTCAGCAGAACATCCAGTGAGCTGGACTCTGTAACATCAGTCAGGATCAGATTGTTCTTGAAATCCAGATTAAATCGACTTTCATCCAGACCATCAAAGATGAACAGAACCTGGAACGATTCAAAGTTTCTGATTCCTTTGGTTTTAGTGAATCGTTCATGAATCAGTTCTAATAAGCTGAACTTTTTCTCTCTCAGTAAATTCAGTTCTTTGAAGGTGAATGGAAATATGAACTCAATGTTCTGGTTGGTTTTGCCTTCAGCCCAGTCCAGAGTGAACTTCTGTGTTAACAGTGTTTTCCCAATGCCAGCCACGCCCATGGTCATCACTGTTCTGATTGGTTGATCTCCTCCAGGTGGGACTTTAAAGATGTCTTCTCTTCTGACTGTTTCTTGTTTCCTGGATGCTGTTTCAATCTGTCTGACCTCATGTTCCTGGTTGACCTCTCTAGTTGACCCCTCTGTGATGTAGAGCTCAGTGTAGATCTGGTTCAGACCGGTTTTATTTCCATGTTCAGCGACGCCTTCAGAGAGACTCTGGATCTTCATCTTCAGATGGTTTTTAAGCTCCTGTTGACACCGAACATCAAAATCTAAAAAATAAACAAGAGCAGACACTTCAGCTAAACATAATGAAAAGAGTTATTTTGATATTCTCAAAGGACATTAATATATTTAACTTTTTCTCTGTGGCGACAAATTTTGAAATCAGGAACTATTAGAAGAGATCAGATTTATTTATCATTTATAGTTTAATCAAAACCAGTAGAGGTTGTAATAGCAGCTTTAATGAACTTTGTGTCTCACCTGGACCAAAGGAGGCAGAGGACAAACCCAGCTGGTTGGACAGAGTTGGATCCAAGTGATGAAGATGTTTGATCATCAACCTGCAGGCTCTCTGTCCTTTCTTTCTCACAGCATCTATGGTGTCGCGGGCCTTGTCTGCTCTGGTTTGGTTCATCTGCAGTATACCCTCATCCTCCAAATCACCAAAACCTCATCTGATAGAAGCTCATCAAGGAGCCGTTTCAGGATTTCCTCAGAAACTGTCTTCACAAACTCAGAGCGAACCTTGAAAAGTTTTTTTCTCTGCAGGCAGAAACAGAAACAGGATTAATTTACATCTGAGAGACAAACCTGATGAAGATCAACTCTTCCTGTTGCTCCATCCAGAGATTCTCCTCAGAGTCTGTTGATCAGCTCCTCAGGTCTGAACCTGCTGTTGTGTTTCTGCCTCATATCTGAGTGACGACCACTGATTCTGTCTACATGAGAACAAATGAAGCTTCTGTTCATCATTTGTTTCCTCACTGCAGGAAGAACAATAAAACAAACACCTTCTAAATATAGAGCTGAACTATTTCAGAAAAACAGGAAACTCTGATGTTATTGATGAAAATATCGACTGATTAACATTTTCATCACTTTTCTGTCTTTTACTTTCAACAAGTTTTTAATCTCCATATTTAAGCTTTAGCATCTATGTCACCAAATGTTGGGATAAAAGACACAGCAAGTCTTTGATAATAAATTAGTAATAAATTATGTGATTATTGGATAAATTAATTAGTGAATATAGTAAATATTCCTGAAGATCTTTTTCACTTTGGTTCCTTTTAGTTCTGTTTCCATCTTAGTTCAGATTTTATCTTCAGGTTTCACAGAAACTCAGTTTCCAGCAGATCTTCACTGAACAGGAAGCATGAAAACAATAAATACTCTGAGGCTGAGGTTCATCACATGGCAGCAACACGGGCTGTGATTGGTCCGTTTGTTCCTTCATGAAGGTTCATTTCTGCTTCTGATCACTTACCAAAATCCACTTCCTGCTTCTGCGCCATCTTTTATCTGGAAAACATGAAGGATTTATTATGTTTCAGACTTTATCTCATAAAATTTACTGTGGTATAAATGATAAACTACATGGAAAAATACCAGATTAGAGATGAAAATACTCATTTAAATCACACAATAACACACCACTGAAAAACACAATTTCTTTAATCCTTAAAACTAAAATTTGTCTTTTTGAAAACTGACTTGATTCTTCCAGAACATCTGAAATCAACACTATTGAACCAAATGTTTGTATTTAAGGATGGAAAGCGACTGTGAGTCATTCTAGGATCATTTCCTTCAGACTGAAATGAAAACATCTTTAAATCCCGTTTGTTGCCATTGAACAGTAATGTGTTGCTGCCATCACCAGCTGATTAAATGTCCTCCAGAAATGCGTCTGGCCTCCTGCTCAGGCGTTTAGTTTTTCAGGTGACCAGTTGTCCTCACCGTCTCTGCCGTCTTCCTCTGAGTGATGATGAGAAGCAGCAGAAATAAAGACACAGAGGGATGAGAGGGACGAATCTGGACTGACAGAGTTTCATCCTGTTGAAACAAACCAAGTTCTGACTGGTTCTGCTGAAGCTGCTGACTGGGACCAAACTGGAGAACTTAGTGGAATTAAAACCTCTACAACCCTAAAGGTGACCCAATCAAAACGACTCACTGTACATATTTGAAACTTGCTACACAAAGCCTTCAACACAGGAAATAAACTATTGGAGGGAGGGTCAAAGGTCATTTTTGACATGTCACATGATGAATTTAGTCCAAGGAATTTAGATGTATTGGCTTCTTACAGCAGGTATTGTTGTTGCGCAACCTCTGCCCCCTCCTTCACTCTCTCCTCTCTCAGTCACTACTTCCTCTTCAGAGGGGGAGATGTGCTACCAGCTCTCTGTCTAACGGGTGAATTGAGTTTCCTAAATCTGTCCAGAACTGAAGTAAACTCTGTTTTAGCTGCATCCAGAAAGGATTCGCCTGGTTACTGACGGCCTCCATCCAGATGTCTCGTCCTTCTTCCCCCTGTGAATCAGCCAGACTGAGCAGCCAACTGGTTCCACAGAGCACATCTGTTAACGGTCGCTCCTTCTCTTTGTTACAACTTGCACTTGTTACTGAATCAGGTTGGTTTTAGTGACTCTGGCGAGTCCCAAGGATGTTGTTTTAGATTTGGGCTAAAGCAACCTATAAAACATGACCTAGTTTTCTTCCCCAGAATCAAACATCACAGCTATTTTACTACCGTCAAAGAACTTTGAGGTGACTCATTAATTGAATGTCCACATCTTTTACATTTTCTTTATGCTAAATATTTATTAGTAAAGCACTTTTGCAAGAGTCAGTACAGCTTAATGAAGTAGCAGAAATAATCAAATAAGTAAAATCAATCATCTAGTTTGTCTTTCCCTAACGCTGATAAGAACTAAAAAGGGAATCTGTTGTGGACAGGCGTAGAGGGGATCACGTGATGTCGTTAGTGATTATGATCAGCTGTTGCTCACCTGGGTGAAGTAGTGAGTGGGTGATGGAGGAAGGTTTACTTTTTGCTGACCGCTTCAATTTAGCACATTTGTCTTTATTCACTGTTTTTTCTACGGATCCGTTTTTTTATTTTTTTTAACTTTATTTTTATTTATTTTTAACAACACATGTCCACAGTTGCATTCGTCTGTCTCTTACTGACATTTATCTTCTGCATTATAACTTGACAAAAGATGAGACATCAAATGATCTAACATAGGCAATAAGGAATACATACCAGTACAAACATCACACAAGAACAACAAAATAAAAATAAAAAATAATACAAGACACACAATTAAATCCCCTCTGACATAAGATGGTCCTCACATTCTTAAACACCATGGTATTCTAACTGACCCATGGGTACATACAGGTACCAACAAGCAATCCTGTAAGGGCGTCATTGAATTAGTAACGGTAAGACCGGGCTCCACCTTATATCAAAAACTGTTTTTTGAAGCCTTAAGGAATATGTGATTCCTTCCATCAGATAAATGTCCCAGATTTTTTGTATCCATGTGCCGGTTGGCCCCCGGCTGTACCTTTTGTTTCTTTGGACCGGCTCACCAGGTCCTTTCTGTTGAACTTTTTTCTCTTACTTTTTTGTTACGTTTTGGGACACGGGAAGAGGTTCTTTCCTTCCTTACGGAAAAAAAAACAAGTAGAAAAGGACAAGGCAGTCTAAAAGAAAAGAAAAAAAATGAATAAAGGAATATTTTTCTTGGAATCCTTTTTCTACGTGTCCTTTTAAATAGGAGGCCCTGGTTTCAGCCACCTGATAGTTATACATTTCAAGGCTGCTGTGAGCAAGATACTTAGAAGATATCTATCACCCTTCCTGTCCATTCCATCGGGTATTACTCCCAGAACTGCCACCAAGGGAGTTTTTGGAACATTTCTCCTGAAAATAACACTGAGAGCTTCAAAAATGTCCTTCCAGAAATCACTTAGTTTAGGACAAGACCAGAAGCTACGGATCCGTTTTTATGCTGTGTGGACACTGACGCTTTGGATTTGGCAAAATAAAAAACTTAAATGCAACTTGGATTGCGTTTTTGATCAGCTGGCGCGTCAACAAAGATTCCCCTATTCAGCCGCTCAGCGACCTGGTTTGACAGTCGCTGATAGAACCTCTGAGAGAGGGACGATCACACAAGTGACCTCTCAGGTTCTGGTTCCCCAGAACCAGAACCAACAGAGGAGAAGCAGCTTTCAGCATCTATGCACCACAAATCTGGAACAAACTTCCAGAAAACTGTAAAACAGCTGAAACCCTGACATCCTTTAAATCTCAACTAAAAACTCACCTGTTTAGAATTGAATTTGAAATGTAATCAATACTCACTGATTATTGGCTGAAAGTGCTGCAAGTGTATCCAATACTGACTGCATTGTCTGCATAAAGTAGGTTCATGTTATTAACAGAGATTTTGAAGGGCCCAGTAGATCAATGTCCATTGGCTGAGTTAAATATTATAAATGTTTTATTTGCATTGTTATGGCATTGACTTAATGTAGTTTTTGATTGTTGATTCTATGTTGCATCACTTTGTGTTTTTTGTGTTTATTATGTCAGAAAAATCTGAGATCATCCCACTTCCCCATGCTGGAGATTTCAGTTAATAGTAATGTTATGTTCTTTGGGCACTCTCTAATTATTTTTTATTTTCTTAAATAATTTTGTATTGATTTAAGTTGAGTGGTTTTGTGTTTAATATATTTTTAGGGTAGTGATTCTTTTTGTAATTAGTTTGGCTTTAATTGGTGGCGAGGACGGCCTATATATATAGGCTGGGTTGTAATGGTTGCCGCCCAGCCGCTCTCTCTCTCGCTCGCTCATCCACCTCCATCTCCACCTCCAAGAGGGATGCGCCCAGAGGAGGCTCCTCAACTTTGTCGGCCTTTGGACCCTTGTGATGCCTCCTGCCTGCCATGGGGATTTTTTGGTTGTTTTTGGTCTGTTTTGGCCTGGTGAGTCCGGTTGTCCTGTTTTTCGGTCATTTTGTGTTAATAGCTTATATTATTTTTCCCTATTTTCTTTAGTCTGGTACTAGCAGGGGCTTCGACGGCCCTGTATAGGGTTGGCCCCCTGCTGTACCTTTTTGTTTCTTTGGACCGGCTCACCAGGTCCACCTTTCTGTTGAACTTTTTTCTCTTACTTTTTTGTTACGTTTTGGGACACGGGAAGAGGGGTTCTTTCCTTCCTTTACAGAAAAAAAACAAGTAGAAAAGGACAAGGAAGTCTAAAAGAAAAGAAAAAAATGAATAAAGGAATATTTTTCTTGGAATCCTTTTGTCTAGGTGTCCTTTAAATATGGCGTCCTGGCGGACGTAACAAGTAACAACAAATAAAGTTACCTTTAAAATCAGTCACACAAGCGACATCTGGACCCAACAGTAGAGCCAGACTGCAATAAAATAAATCTGGTTGTGTGTGTTGTTTTTGTCTCCTGCAAACTTTGCTTTAATTATAATTATCTTTTTTATCTAATCTTAAGAATCATAGAGAGAGATGAGACAGGAAGAGCAGGTTTCCTGGAAACTGAGGAAGGAAGTTTCCAGCCTGCAGATTTATAAAAATATCTGAGATTATTCCTTATTAAAAAGCATAAAAGTTTGAAAGGATGAAATCTAAACATTTTGAGTAATTACATAAGATTTAAAGTAAAGTACTTATATTAATATTGGTTTACTTATACAATACTTACTGACACTTGTGGAAAAACGTACAAGTAAGACAAGTAACTGTAACTTTGGTATTAAATAATTACAATAATAGATTATTCTTGGTTTCTTTTCAGAACATGTGTAATAACTCACATTATAATTATAATAAGAGTAATAAGTTGTGATTATCATAAAATTATAAATTAATGCTAAATTAAAGGAACTAAAAGGATTATAACATTGAACTTGAAATGGTGTAAAATGTAACTGCTATTAAAGATCACTGATGATGTGTTGGATAGATAGAAGGTGAAAGGTCAAGGGTCAAGAGGACTAACAGGAGAGCAGAGATGACCAACGCCTCATTTGAAGATAGATGATTGAACAACTTAAACGTCTCAGAGACATGGGAGCATCGTTGAGCAACCCTGAGACATTAGCCAAGACATCAGGACAAAATGTCTCCAAGACAGTGATGGATATGAGGTCATCTGTCCATCAGCCAATGAAACAAGCACAGCAACAGTGTTAGCCAATGCTAATGCACCAAAATGGTGGATAAACCCAATAAAGGGTGAGAGCAAAAGAGGAACCTTTGGTTGGATCAGGGTTGCTCAACTTATTACTCTTGTTATTATAATGTGAGTTATTACAGAAGTTACAGTTACTTGTCTTACTTGTACGTTTTTCCACAAATGTCAGTAAGTATTGTTATAAGTAAACCAATATTAATATAAGTACTTTACTTTAAATCTTATCTAATTACTCAAAATGTTTACATTTCATCCTTTCAAACTTTTATGCTTTTTAATAAGGAATAATCTCAGATATTTTTATAAATCTGCAGGCTGGAAACTTCCTCAGTTTCCAGGAAACCTGCTCTTCCTGTCTCATCTCTCTCTATGATTTCTTAAGATTAGATAAAAAAGATAATTATAATTAAAACAACACACACAACCAGATTTATTTTATTGCAGTCTGGGTCTACTGTTGGGTCTAGATGTCACTTGTGTGACTGATTTTAAAGGTAACTTTATTTATTGTTACTGTTAAATTAAACTCTCCAGCATGGGGAAGTGGGATGATCTCAGATTTTCTTGACAGTATTCTTGTAAACCTTGGAGAATTAAAAGTTATCAAAATGTTAAATGTTTTGATCCAGGCCTCAAACTTTGATTTTTCACCAATAAAATTGTCAGAGTCAAACAGTTTGACTTTAACTTGATTGTGCAGGAGGAATTAAGACTTCAGGTTGTTTTTCCCCATAAACAGAGACGTAGACCAGAACTCATTTCTTCAGAGGAACCAACTTCACGCGGATCTGAATGATTGGTAGAAGAAAAGAGCAAGAACTGAAGCTCTGCATATCTGAATCCTGAGACAAGATCAGACATGCAGGTAATCAACGTCTTCAGTTTTCACGTTGGAGAATCACAGATGGATTAAAGTGAGATGCTGAAACCTGCTGAGGCTTGAAATATTCCTCCACTCCTCAGTGGAACAAGAAGAGCTTCATAAAAACAGAAAACAAACCGTCTCTGGAGTCTGACAATAATGAGAGGATTAATATGTGAACATCTGCTGTACAGAGATGATAGATGATTGTAATAAGATCAATATTCATTCAACAAACACCATCATGTAATCTGAGATTATTTGGTTTGGTTGGGACAGATTGAGATTCCTGATAATTAGTTCATCTCTCAGGATGATTCATCTCAGAACACAAACATTCAAAGTCCATGATTCTCATGTTTAGGTTCTGATTATAATCACTTAAATAAGTTTCAACAAACTCTGCTTCTGTAAACTCTGAGTTAACTTAGCCTGAAACTGAGATCCTGGTTCTAAAACTTTTTACCTAAAGATCAACAAACTGCACTAATCAAGAACCACAGGAAGTGGATTTGTGATGTCACCAGGTTCAGATGTCATTAGACTGTTGTTCCTCTGGAGGGCGCTGTTGATTCTTTACGGCTTGATCAGCTTTCAACTGAACCACCTGCAGCCTGGACTGAAATGATTGATCAATAATTTGGTTGAAAATCTGAAAACCGTTCATCAGATTTTATCTAATTAAGCAACAACTTAAATAATATCATTAATATTAAACTTTGTTTTGGTTTCACATGAATATCAGGAAACTGGGAAATGAAAATATGATGATGTTTAAAGGGTGTAAAAACTTTCAGATGGTTTTGGATTTAAAGTCAGACTTTAATCTCAGTTTCTGCTTTAAAAGTTTAGATAAATTATCCATCTTATTAAAGCAACTATAAAACTTTTATTGTGATTGTTTCACTGATAAACAGTGAATGATCTCCTGATCTTATGATTCCTGACTCACCTCAGGCTCCGCCCCTTCTCACTATTGTACAATAAAAAACTGTGGAAAGATGTTGATCGTGTTGGAGTCACTCTAGGTGGCGCCGTTTTGTCTCTTTTCACAATCAAGTTTGCTACATTTTTACAGAGAAGGGAAACAACTGAACCACTAGGGTCAAAGGTCAAAATCCTGCCACCAGACTCAGTTCATTGATATGAAATAGAAAAATCCAAACATTTAACAATGAATCAAAAACAGAGTAAAAAAAACTCTAAAGATTCACAGATAGCCGAACTTCTGTAAATTTCTCTCATTCACCAAAATTTAAAACTATTTAAAACTTTGTTTAAAAACAACAAAATTATTTAATATCACTGTCATTGAATGTATGAAGTGACTGAAATATGAAATACATTAACAGGTTTTCTTTTAAGTGTTAACAGTGATATAGATTATTAGAAATCGCTGTGATTCAACCAATAGTTTAGCAGATTTGTGATTTAATATTAATCAATCATTTAAAAATCAAAATGAGAGAAAATGAATGACGATCAGAGTGGAGGACAGTTTTTCTTCTGCTTAAACCTCTGAGCTCTCCAGGACAAATCTGACATTTTTTATTTGTTTTACATTAAAAACAACAAACAAGACATTTGATCCAAAATGGCCGACTTCCTGCTGGGAGTGTAAACGGGTCCAATAGTAATTTTTATTGGTTCTGATGGTTTGATGTTTTAACTCAGTTCAGGTCTAAATAACAGCAGTGGATGTTTTTAAATACTCTAGGGGGCGCTGTGTTGATATTTCACCATAATCACTTCTTACTGATCAATAATTGATTGAAATGTGATCAGCTGTCCTCTGGCTCCTCTCTGATCAATAAATTATTGACTTCATATCGAAATATTTTCATCCACCAACCAGGAACCAGATATATCAGCTGAACCAGAACCAGAACCAGAACCAGTAGCTCAGAGAGAGAAACCAGTCAGGACTGGAAACCAGAAGAAAGTGGAGTTAAAATCACCTGATCAGATCTTTGCTTCTCCTTCTGTTCACACAAACCCAGTGGGAGCGAACTGGAGAACCGGACCGATTCTCCAGAACTTTAATGGGACCCACCTGAGGCTCCGCCCCTGACAGCAGAGGTGTGTTCACCTGTTGAATAACAAAAAACCAGGAAATAAATGTTAAACAACAAGTTCACGTTTCAGTTTAAAGCTTCTTTAAGTTTGAAACATATTCAGGATTTTAATCAATATTTTATTAAATTAATGGAGATTTTCAGTTTCATCTATAAAGAAATTTAACAAATAAAACTAATAATAGTTGCTGCTTGTTTATGATCTGAGCCAACAGAACCAAGAACCTTGAAATGTTGATGTTTCTCCATCTGACATGTTCATATTAAATACAGATTTTATTCATTTATTTAATCTTGTTTAATGTTGATATGAAGGAAACTTTCCATGATGATTCTCACCTGATCCTCCTTCACTACTGAACATAAACTTCTTTAATCTTTGTCTCTTTTAGCCTGGAGGCTTTAAGTTGTTCAACTAGTTTGTCTCAGACGTTTCCAACGAAAATTAAAAACCTGCAGAGTTACAAACAGGTTTTAACTTGCTGCAGCCATTCACTGGAAGATGTTTATCAGTTTCTGTCTCTGCTGTGCAGGAATGTTTCCTCGTTGCCAACATGCCTGAAAAAAAAAAGGTTCAACCTCCAAACATTAAGATCCGTCCAGCAGGAACCTTTTCTGATGTGTCATAAATGGAAGGTGAAGGTTTCAGATCAATGTTAATCAAACTAGTAAATATCATTTAACACAAAATTCCTGATGCAGGAATTTCCTGGGAACACTTCAGGGTGGGGTCATAAGGTCGTCCATCAGCGGCCCGCTGCGTTTTTGGGTTAAAATATTACAAAGTTTTGAGTGTCATAATTCAGAGGAGGGTTGTGAAGCCCTCCTCTGATTGTTTTACTGATAAAAAGTGAATAATCTGTTTCTCCTGATCTTATTGTTCCTGACTCACCTCAGGCTCCGCCCCTTCTCACTACGGTACAACAGTATCAGCCCGGCAGGCTGATGAAGCAGAGGAAACCCTGACTTCTAGTTCTAGTTGGTCTCTTGCTGCTCTTGTTCTGGTCCCTCACTAGGAGCCAGTGACTAATAACTTCAGCAAAACACATGAGCTTCTTTTCAGTCAATTATTTCTTAATATTGATGAATCATGCAGATTATTTCACTGATAACATTTATAACATTTACCCAAATTATGAGTGAAACAATCTTCCAATTAAATAAGTAACTAATTCTACTGGCAAAATTGAATAAATTATAGGTAAATCTTTATTATTGCAAACCTTCATTCTGTCCACCAGGAGGCAGAAATGAGTAACAGATGTTTATTTAAGACTCATTTAATCATCAGATAAAAGCTTTACATTTAATAACATTCTAAAAACAGCAGAAATTCTCAGGAAAACATAAAAAACAACAAAGTTAATAAAAATGAGTCATAGGAGACAAGAAATATGATTAAAACCAGCAGAATAACAATTAAATGATCATAATGTCCATCATATTAATGTTAACCTAAATATCTATTTTCATTTGATTTTATCTCTGATTTGACTAAATGTGTTTAAATTGTCCTTCTTGTGTTTCCATCCAGTTCAAACTGACTTCAGGTTCTTCAGACTTCACACAGTCAGACATTAGAAGCAGAAACTATTGAGCAGGTTTCCTCCTGTTTCTCATCCTCATACAAATATTTACACAACAGTGAAACTTCTCGGCATCGAATGCTAATTAATGAGTGGAATTATTGATTTCCCTTTAAACTAATCAAAACTATTGATCACATTGATGAGCTCTAAATAAAAAACTGTCATATTTCAGAATTTTAAAGCTCCAAATCTGGTGGGAAAAGCCTTAAATTCCCAGATGTTGAGGAGCCGTCGGGTCCAATCAGAGTAAAACTTGGTGCTGATCTGCAGGATTCTTCAGAACCGACCCGGTTAGCGGGCCGGAAGCGGCTGCATCTGCAGGGAGTCGTAGGTGTCTCTGGTGACCGAGCTCAGACCCTGAAAGCAGCCCATCAGTTAATCAATCAGCTGATCAGAGCAGATGTTTGGACGGGTCGGTCCGGTCCGGTCCGGTCCGGTCGGTACTCACCTGGTAAACCTGCTCGTTCTTCCGTTGACGCTGCAAAAACAAGAGTTTTTAATGCAACCGGTTCCAGAACCTGACAGAACCTCATCGTGTTCAGACGCTCACCTCTCTCCTCACAGGAAGCTCTTTATACGTCGGTTCTGATCGTTTCTGCAGGCCCTGAAACCCAAACAGAACCAGTTAGATAAACATCCAGAGGTCACTGCGGTTCTGTTCTGGACGGTTCGTCTGGTACCATGTAGGTGGAGTCATCCGGCGCTCTGCGGTTCTGAGAGACACAATGAGAAGAAACAAGATGAAGCATCTGAACAGAACCAGAACCTTCAGAACCGGACATCTGGACTCACCCGTCCTCGCTCCGGGTCGGTCATCAGCGGCTCGTAGGTGTCGCCCGTCGCTCTGCTGAGAGACTGAACACAAAAACACATGAAGACGAATTCAAGAGAAAATCTGAGCTGCGACACGACGAGACGACGGACTCACAGCGTAGGTTCCATCGTCTGAGCCCTTCGCTTTGGTTCTGAAGAACTGGAACACAGAAGGTCCAGAATAAGTTCTGAAAACTCACAAACCGTCTGAAAGAACGAATTTATAAAAATATGTTTGTGATGACAGTTTGTTATGAAGCTGATCGACTGTAAAAATATCGACCTGCAGCAAAAACCACCAATCAGAGCCAGGAGGAGGGGCTTAGTGCTGTCAATCATCCTCATGTATTCGCTGCTGAATGTGTTAAAGGCAGAAAAATGACTTAATGTTTCAGGAAAACTGTTTATTGTTTTCCTTTTTCTACCAAACAAACAGGTTTTAATCTCAACCAGAATTTTATTGAAGGATAGTTTTGATATTTTATTCACTTGTTTTATTGATTTTAGATATTTAAAATGTTTTCCAGTTCTAGAGCTAAATGGTCATTAAAATGTAAAGTTCACTGATCTGTCTTCTTGATTATGATAATCTTGGTCTTAAATAATAATGTGTTCCTGGTTTGACCCGTCATGGAAACATGTTCTGCCTGGTTCTGCCTGGTTCTGTTGGGTTTGGACCCACCTTCTCCTTGATGAACATGCCGGTCATGATGAGGCCGTAGAGACCCAGAAACCCGTCCAGGTCTGGCTGCAGCTGCTAGAATATGTGTGTGTGTGTGTGTGTGTGTGTGTGTGTGTGTGTGTGTGTGTGTGTGTGTGTGTGTGTGTGTGTGTGTGTGTGTGTGTGTGTGTGTGTGTGTGTGTGTGTGTGTGTGTAGAGGGGATGTTGATTTAATGCTTAGGAACATTTTCCATCAGCAACAAACTCAGCAAGATTTAAAGAACAATGGCTACAGAGGAGGAGGAGGAGTCTCTGTGGTTACTAACCAACAGCGGATGAGGAAGAGTGAGGATGGGGACACAATGCAGACTCAGCAGATTGTAACGTTTTCCACGTACCGTTCCTCCAGCGGTTCAGTTCAGCCTCCAGCCTCTGGATGGCGCTCTTCAGGCTCTTGTTCTTCTCCTTCTCGTATTTCTTCTTCCACTCCTCTGCGGTCAGCTCCAGGTTCACACACACCGTGTTCTTGATGGTCTTCGCCCTGAACCAGACAAGATGGCCACCATCAGTCCATCACAACATCTGACATCAGGAGGGTTCAAATGTATTGAGACAAATAACTGAAAGCCAAAAAAATGACATTTTAACAAATAAAATCACAAAAATTGTTGTGATTCTTTAATATACTCAACAATAAACAAAGCATAAATATTTAAATTTAAAAAGTAAAATTACTCAGAGGGTTTTTTGTAGAATTTTTTGTAAATTGAAAAAAACTGAAAAAGTATTTATCTACTCTTGCTAATAAAAATAAAATGTCCTGGAAGCTTGAATCCAGCAACTAAAAGCAGATTTTAGTTCATAGATGTGAAGTTTTGAGTAAAAGACAATGAGTGCATGTTCTAGATACCATGACAATAGAAGGGAACCAAAAGCTAGAAACAGATGATCACTGTGTGATGCATCTAACATGATTTTCATTTAAAAGTTGTAGTTTTGTCCTGATTTATTTTCTTTTTGTGCTTTGAGTCCCGCACTAAATCAGTCCTCGGGCCGTAAATGGCCGCGTCCCTCACTTTGAACACCTGAGTTAGTTTGCAGAACTGACATCAACTTTCACCTGCACACGACCCAAAGATCTGAAACACTGCAGGCGAACATACATGACATCTGACGCATGGTGGTGGCAGTATCATGATGTGGAGCTGATTACACTATCAATTCATTGCAGAGAGAGGACACAATAAAAAAGGGAGCATCACTTTTAAATTCCCCAACTTTACTTCAAAGCAACATCTACAGATGGGGTGTCCAAACTGCGGCCTGAGGGCCATTTGAGGCCCCTGAAATGATATTTGTCGGCCTCCAGACAACAAGTCAAGAAGAGCCTCCAGCACAAGCAACAAGAATGCAGCGAATGGTTTCTGGATGGTAAGACAACCACAAAACTCTTGTCTTTTCCAGCAGCCATTGTATCAAACATACTGAAGCTCAGCTTGGGTTGCTAGGTAACTGTTTGCTAATTGTGACGTTACATTCTGGAGGTTTTTAGTAAACCAAAGAAAACAACAACAAAATAACATTAACATTTAGTTTTTCGCAGCGTTTGGACTGTTCTTAGAAGCAGCCGAGATCCAAAACCTGAATGTGTTTCCTTTATCTGTCGCTCCAGAGAAGAAGCCAGGAGTACCTCTGTCCAAACATGAGCGTGGACTTGGTCTCGGCCTCGTTGTAGACGGACGGCGAGCAGCAGATGATGATGGTGGTGCGGCAGTTTCCTCCCAGGGAGTCCTGCAGGATCCGGGTCATCTTGCTGTCTCTGTACGGCACGTGGGTTTTCTGGGGGAACCGGGATCAGATCAACCATCTCCAACTCGCTCCATCAGAACCTCAGGGAGAACCAACTCACCGTTCCCTCAGCCAGAGCCGAGATGACGTTCCCCAACGCCGACAGAGATTTGTTGATGCACCGCCCCCTCTGCTCCGGTCTTGCTGACTGTCAAACAATCGGACTTTATGAATCTCACAGCTCAGCAGAGGAAGGCGACCTCATTAATCTCAGACTGACCTTCTCGCTGCCGGCCAGATCCACCAGGTAAAGCTTCCCTGACAGTTTCTTCTCCGTTTCCACGTTTTCCTGCTTGATGTTGATCAGAAAGATGCTGTGGCTGCGAGAGCTGTGCTCATTCATGTCTGCAGCAGAAAACAGAAAAATCATTCATTAAAAAAAATATATATCAGTCATAAATCATCTTCTGCTCATTTTATGTAAAAAAAAGTCCCTTTTAAATAAGCCAACGCCACATAGGCAATGATGACAGAAGATAAAAAAGTCAATTAAAAGATTGTTTTAATCCATTTTCTGCAGCAGTTGCACATATAATCATTTTACCAGATTGTGTTTTTTGGTGAGAAAAAACTCAATTTCCCAAAAGATCGTCTGATTTTACTCCATCCAACAACATAATAAAGATATTTAGTAGGAAAAATAAACCCTAACAGGAAATATTTTACCAGCAAAAATATGTTTTTGAACAAGATTTTTGATATCTTTATGGAAATATAATTTTTAACCAAATATTTTTTTGCAAATGCATTTTAAATGCTCTCGGGCTTACTGCACCCTACTGGCCAAAAGTAGGTAGTTCAGGGTTATTTTTGTACTTTTTGATGTGAAATTTCATTTTGCCACAGAAAATCCACAGTATAGCAGCTGAAACTGAGAGAAAATGTGTTATTTGTCTAAATGATATCAATAAAGTCATGCAGCAACAAAACACAGATCAAAAAGTTCATGATTGCAGAATTAGACTTCAGTATAAAACAAAAAATGGTAAATCTGCAGCAGGCACAAAACATGTCTTAGACTTGTTCTACATATTTTCTGTTTTTGTAAAAAGTTATAATTGAATAAATGTGATAAATAAATATGTTTACGTACTTGTCACTGCCACGTGCCGATTGGCCTTTCCCTCGTCGATGACGTCCATCACTTCCTCAGGACTGGACACGAAGCGCTCAGTGCAGCCCTGAAACAGAGAGCAGGCCGTTACAGCTGGAACAACATCATTTACAGATAAAACATCGAAAATATGTTTGTGTCAAACCAGATCTAACCCTCATTGAAGACGTTGAAACTCGTCTTACTGACCTTCACATAGGGCACTCTGTTCTTGTCTTCATGCAGCGAGGTTCGTCTTCGACACTGAAAGCAAGACAAAGATCTCAAAAACTCAGCTGGTGCTAGAATTGAGAAAGATCCTCAGTAAATGTGGATTCCTGAAGGTCAGAACGTGGAAGTGGGAGAACAGACTCACCGTCCAGCAGGTCTCTGATTTTACCCAGGTAGATTTCAATAAGAAACCTGCAGAGAGAACACACAAATTTAGAGTCTGGTCACTGCTTACTGAGAATTTAAACATTTTGTATTTATTATTACTCTAATCATAAATGTAAGGTCTACTAACCTGGTAGTCACGTACGACAAGGGAATCAGTGACTATAAATCTTTATGATCAATTAGCGTATCAGAACTAGGTTCATCTCAGGAGGAAAAAGTGAAACAAAGAGTTGAACAAAACACATATTTATTACACATTTTGGCAATAACACGAACAGAACAAAATAGTCAATGTTTTCCTCTAGGAGTCCTAAGTCAAGTCAGTCAAGTTCAGGGGTTTCTTTTCCTTTGATTCGGTTTCAGTTCAGTTTTCAGATCTGAATGTCATGTTGTAGCTAACCCTAACCCAATCCCACCCATCTAGTGGAACAGAAGGTTCTTCTTTGGCATCGTAGTGGACACAATGTGAATCTGATCTTGTGGATCCTGGCTCGCTGTTCTTCATGTGTTGTTCCTCAACACAAAAAAACCAACAACCTGCATGTAGCAGAAATATCTTTCACTATAGTGTTATTATGCAACTCTAAGTCACCTCAGTGAAATTTTATCTCCTCTCCGTGTACATAAAATTATTTGTACTTGTGATAAATAACTTTTGTCTTTTAACTCAACAAACATCACAAAAATACTATTCACTGAATTTACATCAATATCTTATTTTTTTAGCACTCTTAAATTCCTTACAGCGAAATAAATTAAATACCTCATCAGTGTCACCATTTCAAAAGAAAAGGTGCAATATTAGCAGAATAGCCTTTGAGTTAGCGAGAAACATTTCTAATTCACTTACAAACATCATGTAGAAACATGCATTCTGACCCATAACAAGTATCGCCGATTGTTTTTGTTTTTTCCTTTCAACTTTAAACTATAAAATTTCATGACAATCCAACCTTTAATACAAAACAGCAAATTAGCTTGTGGCTAATCGATAGCTAACGAGCTAATTGTAGCACAGAACTCACCGGAGATTCGCAGCAAGGAAAAGAAATAAATTAAATCTCAAAATCTAATTCTACATTAGAGAGATTTAATCTAAAAAATTCTTTAATTTTTAGATTAAATCTAAAACATCGACATGACGGCACCAGGTCCAGTTGTGGTTCTGCCCTCTGACCTCTTGGCCTCCTCCGGCCTGTAGGTAGAGATAGGCCAGGTTCTGGAGCCACAGTGATGCTGATCGGTGATACGAACTGGATTCTGATCCGAATCCTGAGACGGATTCAAGCTGCAGCTTCAATATCAGAACCAGATGAAGTTTCTTCTTCTTCACTAAAGAACATTTCAGTTTGAGTCTCTGAATGTAGAAACTGATTTCATGAACACAAGAGAGTCAGAGGAAACCGGGTCAGAGAGAACCGGGTCAGAGATGGAACCGGGTCAGAGATGGAACCGGGTCAGAGATGGAACCGGGTCAGAGAACCGGTCAGAGATGGAACCGGGTCAGAGATGGAACCGGGTCAGACAGGGAACCGGGTCAGAGATGGAACCGGTCAGAGATGAAACCGGGTCAGAGATGGAACCGGGTCAGAGAGGGAACCGGGTCAGAGATGGAACCGGGTCAGAGATGGAACCGGGTCAGAGAGGGAACCGGGTCAGAGATGGAACCGGGTCAGAGATGGAACCGGGTCAGAGATGGAACCGGGTCAGAGATTAGATGTTAATGTTATTTAAATACTTTTATGAATTGATAATCATTTCAGTTTGAGATGAGTAAAATTTAATTTGCTGCTTTTGAATAACAGTTTATTGTTTCAAAGAGAAAAACAACAGAAGTAAAATGTATTATTTCAAATGAAAGCTAACAAAGGAACTCGTTTCTATGGCTCTTAATGTGAAAGTACTCACCGGAAGTGAATGTAGTTTGTAAACGCTCTAACTTTATCAATTAGGTGTAGTTACTATCTGTGTCCACTAGAGGGCAGAAACCGCCCTGCTCTGATATTAATAGTTCAGTTCGCGGCTCTGCAGCTAAAATATCAACATTATTCTGACTGTTTGCAGCATAATTTAACTTTTCATAAATATTTTCCTACCTTCAGACCGGAAGCTCAGCATCTTATCGCCTCAACCAGAGTTTGTTTCAGCTCTGTTTGAGCTGAAGCTCCAGTTTTAAGAACCACAGCTCCTCTGAAGCCGCTGCTAGTCTGTTAGCATCGTTAGCTCCGCTCAGAGTCTCTGCGGGATGTTTTCGTCTCTGTGGAGATGCTTCTAGTTCACACTGACAGATAAAACACTGATTTCCAGAAACCAGCTGCAGCTCTTCAAACTCACCTGTATATTCAGAGCGGGGTATTTACGCCCTCTGGTGGCCTTAGTGGGAACTACAGCCCTGATAATGCTGCATTATTATGTTTAATATCCATTAATGTGGAGTTTAGATAAAAACTAAAAGACATCCTGAGTCATTATCACAGATTTCTGACTCGTATATTATTCAGACATATTTTGATTCACTGTTTGGAGTTAACTTTGATCTGACGTTATAAAATTTTACATTAAAACAAACATCCGGTTTAACAATTTATATGAAGAATGTCTGTAGTTATGATAGTTCACCACCAGAGGGCAGTAAGAACTCAATCAACCATCATAAAATTAATACTTTAAACTTTTCACTAGTTTCTAATGACAACAGTTATATTAACTTAATCCTGTGAATAATAATTTATATATTTCATACATGTATGTTATTAGAGATAGAGATTAATTATTAGAATAATTTAGACACAAAGTGAACAACAACTACTTATAAAGTAATATTTTATTTTACTATAGATGGAAATTTAGTTTGAAAAAATCCTACATTTTATTGTGTAACAATCCCAGAAATTAACTGTGGCTAATTTTGAGAATGAAAGTATGAAAAAGCTTCAAATATCAAGAAAAAACAACCAGCTGACATAAGAACAACTGTTCTTTATTATTTTAAAAACTGTTTAAAATCATAAAATAAAGCTGCTGTATTAAACTCTTTACAAGACGTTTTATTTCTAATCAAACTGAATAAAATCCTGCAGTGACTCTTATTTAATGACAGTAATGTAAGCTGACTTGATCTGACTTTATAACAGTGAAAATTAAAACAAAGGAAACATCTGGTTGAACAATTTCTATTGATGATGTAAATAATGAATAAATCCAGAACGACGGCAGGATGACCGATGGAGAATGTCCTGATATGTGAGGAAAATTAACTGTTTCATCTCATGAACATATAACTTTTATCCAAGCATCATCAGGTGGAGTCGCTCTACCCGTCTGTATCAGCGCTGAATTTTCCTGCGTACCTGAACACATCTTCAGTAAAACCAGCCTCACTGAAGCCAATAGACCAGAGCTACGTTGCAGGAAAACTCTGAAGCTTCTTGCTGGTTTTGGCCTCTAAACTGAGACGCGCTCTCATAAGAAGTGAAATGTTGCACTAGGTGCAGGAGATGACCTTTAACCCCTGGTCCCAGGTTTTAGGCGGTGTTGAGGTGAAGAGCGAGGCTCCTGATCTGCTGTGAGTGACGTGACGCTCGGTGGAAGTTCTGCATCCTGTTGCAGCTTCATGTTGGAGACGTGAGGTTTTGCTTCTCCTGTCAGGGATTTGATGGGAAACGAGTCACAACATTCAGATGATTTCGTCACTTTGACGATGCAAACTCTGTTCCTCAGTGTTTGGTCTGTCAGAACGCTGGCTCAGGTTTCTCCTCTAGTTTTTCTTTAAACTTGTTCCACTTTAAATCCACACAAATAAACCACAGAAAGTTATTTTCTCATCTTCTGATGCAAATTTGCATCCATCAACAAAAGCAGGAAAATAAAACTGTTCTCCTTGAACAACAGCTGTGCAAACTGATCCCATCACTCTGTGAGCAACATGGAGTCGATCTCTGGTTCACCTTTGACCTTTTCTTCCTTCTTGTTGCATCAGAAACTTAAAGTGAATAAAGACGTTTGATGAAACCAGGTTTCAGGTGGACTGAAGTCGTCTTCACTGTGAACTTCATCAACTTTCTGCTTCACAACAAAACCTTTCAAATCCAAACACACATCCAAGCAGCCGAGTCCAAATGATCCACGTTCAAATATTGTTTCTTTTCTCTGCAGGATCTGGTCAGGACGTCTGGATCTCAAGTGGATTTAATGCCACAGATCCAGAAGTTTTACTGTTTGGCTCTGAATCTATAGAGCTGCTATCATGTCTGATTTTAGATCAACTTTTTCACCTCAACAGAATAAAATGACATTTTGTCCCATTAACAAACTCTTTAAAGCTTTTTAATGAAATTTATGCTTCATGTTTTTGCTCAATTCAACTTTCTAACAAACTCAGAGTATTTTTCTCTCTTTTGTTCCTGCAGATCATCAAACAGATCAGATGAAAAATAAAACTGAAAATCTTCAACAATCGACGTCTGGAAAATATTTGAAATAGAAATAGAAAATGTTCTGAGGTCAGAGGTCATCATGATCCAGAGTCTCTTTAGACTCAAACTGCTGCAGCTTCAACCTGTGAGGATCAGCAGGACACAGAGACGTTCTACTTTACAGAGATCAGAACCTGCAGAGAGAAGAAGGAAGGAGAGCAGATCAGTGAGTGTTTCCAGTAGCAGTCAGTGACGCAGCACATCCAGTAGATGGTTTCCAGTCAGACTGATCTCAGAGCTGTGACCAAGATGAACCTGATCAGTTGTTTCCTGTTGAACTGAGAGAACAAGCAGGTCTGAGATCAGATCTGCTGCTGCTTGATGAATGAGGACCACTGTCTCTAGACATGTTGGACGCTGGAGTCCAGCTGGACGTCCTGGAGACATGGACACAGCAACAACACAGCAAGCTGCTGCTCCTCTGATTGGCTGATTGCTGTGTCCAATCAGGAAGCCTGAACCATTCTCCTCCCACTGAGAAGCTGCAGCTTTACTGGGAACACTGGATCTTTGCTTTGATGCTGACTGGGTTTAGTTCAAT